GTGTATGAAAAATTGTGTAGTTTCTGATAATTTTCTTTTACTTAGTAGTAGCTAAATCTTTATTAAGTTCCTAACAATGTATTAAAAACATTTAAATATGAATAATATTGATATTTTCCATAGGATGTTATGAAGTCACGTAAACTTATTTATAAATTGAAACTGAATGATTTTTACAGAAAAACAAAAAAAAACTTTAAAAACTGTATGTTTCATAAAAAAGTTATTATATGATAAAAAAATTATTTTAAAGTCAGTGATATTTACTGACAAATATATAGGAGTTCATTGTTTATATTATAACAAAAAGACGTATAAAACATTAGGAATATCTTAAGTATTATTTATTTTGACAACAATGATATATTATGTGGTACATATTATTCAAATAAAAACAAATTCTTATAAATGTACCTTGGGACACATTAGATTTAGAGAACATTGAAATATTTTGACTAACACCTGAAATTGAAAAAAGTTCATGGAGATCAGGTGATCTTTAATAACAGCTAACAGATTAAACAATATGAACTTGAAATATTATTTCTTTTTGCACTTTTTTCTATTTTAAATTTCTATCATGATGAAAACAAAAACTCAAAATACTTAATTTTCTACCAAGTTCTGTGTTCTATGATTTGTATTTTTCTTTGTTTTATATGTATTATTATTTATAACTGTTGTAGAGAATCAACATAAAAAAAGAATAATATAATATAATGTAAAAAATTAACCACATTGGGTAATTAATTATCTTATCTACATATTTGTTTTAATATTTTATTTTGGTTTAAGTAATTTTTATATCATGTTCTAGGTTTCATTTTTTAACTTAAGATTTTTAAAGTGATTTTACTAAAAAATATTATTAAAAAAGTTTATTTAAGTAATAAAAAAAAATATATATATATATATATATATATTAGTTGTAATCAAGATACGTTGATTTTGGTATAGTAGACTAAAATAGAATAATAAAAGAAAAGAAAAATATAGGAATTGTATGTAAGTTGAAGTTTGATAATACATTTTTTTTACATTGCAACCCATTACTCGTTTCCATTTTTTTATAGTCCTAGAAATTTTAAAACGGTGACGTTTTAGTCAATGTGTTCAAAGTTTTAATGTTAAGGTTCATAATACCAAATCGGGATCAATATAATAATATCATAGTGATAAGACAAGAGTTTCATGTTAGGTTAGGTTAGGGTTCGGGAATATATAAAAACTTTTGATTGAATTAAATATAGAGAATACCTAGTAGGTACTACCTACCTTAAAAAATCTATAAGACTTAACCTTAACAATGATAAATTATTTAATTTGGATTAATTAGACACAAGAATATACACATAGAATAAGAGAAAAGAAAAATGTATACAAAGTACATTGTGTGTGTGTTTTAGTCAATCTATAGAAATTGCTATGACTGGACAAAAATTTTGAATATTTAATTTGAGGTTAATAAAAAAAAGCTTTGCGTATGGCCATATATGTTTTTTATGAACATTTTAATTTTAAATAATGACGCGAAATAGGATATATTCCTACGTAAAATAACAATTCATCCTAAGATAATTTTAGTTTAAAAAAAAGAAAAAATAAACAATAGTAGATAACACATTGTTGTACATTAGACGTCGAGTGGATCACACTTTAGTGTGTTAAATTTAAATCAAATGGTAAATCATAGTATACGAAAAACCATTCTGACCGAAAATGGTAAGTCAAACTTATAACTCAGAATATTTTATGATATATTAAAGTCATTTATTTTACTTTTAGCATAATGGTAGGTTTATATGATTTTTATCGAAAATATTGCATTTCTTATATTACTAATATTTGATTATTAATTTATAATACGAGTATGTATTTATACCGTACTATATCAACTTATATAACTCAAAATGTAATAACATATTTCTGTAAATACCGTCAAACAATAAAAGCAGATTCATGACATAAATAGATAATATCTTAAAATAAATAAAACATTTTATTGTGTACAGTCAAGTTTATAATTTATAATTTTCAAATTTAATACAAGATCATGTTAGTCGTTATTAATATCATTAAAATATATTAAATACCTTTAGAAATATAGGTTAACAAGATAGCGTCTTCACTTAGAATTGTTTTTCGTCTACAAAGATATGCCTGTCATTAAACTTGAATTTAACACGTCCATTTCAACAGTAATCTACTAAATTTAAAAATAAGATCAACACTTACACTGGCTACACTATAGTAGAGCTAATTTCTGAGATTCTTTATTTTTTCTTTTTATTTATTTAATAGATCACGTTATTAATTTTGCATATTATTCCATCTAAAAGTGTTCCTGAAATCGTTAGCGAGGAGTAGTTTTCGATTAGGGGATTAAAGTTGGAGTCTAGTCTATAGTGAAATTGTTGTAAAACGTTTTTGCTTTTTTATGCATAGATTCAAGTTTAATATCAATTTAGTATATATTATTACATATGTAAGGAAGTGAAACTGTGTAGAAAATGGGTAGTATAAAAAATAATATCATAAAACAACGAAGGCGAAAGTTACATTTACTTTACTTGACGGTATATACGGAAAGTAGTGACTGAGTAATTTAATTCTTTTTCATAAGTATTATCAAGATTTATTATTAACAGTATCATAAAAATCTTCAATAAGTACCATTAGCATAGCAGAATATGAAAAAATAGTAATCCATTTGAATTAGTTGATAACTGAATTAAATATGAAATTCTACTTTAATTATATTATATTTTTATACAGCAAAATATTTTCTTTAACTCTAAACACCGACGAATTCAAGAAATACATTAATTTTATCACAAAAAATGTTTTTTTCTTTTTAATTGCTATTCTGGTCATGGCCATTTTTGACCAAAAACGTACCCTTCTCTTTTCGACCAAAACAAAATGTTATATAATATATGAAAAAAATAAAATAATTTATTGGTATATAATTTTTTGTAAAATTAGGCAATTCTATAGTTATATAATCTTTAAAACGACTAAAAGTATAAAATGTTGTAAAAGAAAATATAGAAAATTATTTATAACATAAGAATATCTATTTACTAACATTATTTTTATATTAATATGTCACAGTATATAATATGAATAATATTATATAAAAAAATAAAATTTTAACTACATAAGTAAGTTTGTGACATATTAACATAAAAATGATGTTAATATATAAATATTCTTATATTTTAAACAATTTTCCACATTTTATTTTACAACATTTTATGCAATTTATACTTTCTATCATTTTAAAAATTATATAGTTATACAATCTCCCTAATTTTACAAAAAATTGTACACCAATTATTTAATTTTTTTTACATACATTACATACAATTTTGTTTTGACCGGAAAGGAAAAAGTACGATTTTGATCAAAAATGGTCACACTCATTGTTCCAGAGGTCTTTAAATTATTTGAAACAGATTCAAATAAATAAAAGGTAGAAAGTAAGTAAAAGTTCTACTATACAGCAAGTGTTGAGTGTACACCGTTAATTAACATCACAAAAAAAAAAATTTCAGTTACTTAAAAATAGCTAAAAAGTCAGAAATTTTTGAAAATTTTAACACGTAAAAATTATAATAATTTATATATAATTAATTTTTAAATCATAACCAAATAAATTAATCAGTTTTGTTAAAATCTGGTTTAGTGTAAACATTTCCGTTTTCCCCAATTTTTAAGAAGAGAACAGAAAATTGTTTACATTTTACTCTCTAAAGTACTAACTAAATTTTATTCCCAGAAATTTCCCTGAAGTTGAAAATTGAAGTAATTCTATTATTCTAAGAGGTGATAGCATACGAAAAAATACACACATCATTGTAAAATCAATACATTTATTGCTATGCTCGGAATTTAAATAAACTGCAGTATATACTTTTTGATCATTTATATAAAACTATTTTATATTAACCTGCTATAAAAAGTTAAGTATCATAAATATTGCAATAAAGTCAAGGTATATTATCATTAATTTTGTTATACCAAATATATAATATTGGTATCATCAAAAAATACCTTATTTAAATTTTCATATTTTATACTTATATTATGTATTCATATTATACCTTAAAAGATCTAACTGAAAAAAATATTCATTTTATAATGAATATAAAAAAACAACTCAACAACTCTTCTAAAGAAAATGTGTAATTAATTATAAAAATGTATTAGTTTTTATCTTATATTCAGATAATTATATAATGGATACACCATACTAGATACATTTTTTAGTATCCCATATTATTCTGTAATTAGTGTAATTTACAAGAAATCAAAATCTGAAAAAATAAATAATAACCTAAAATTACTGTATTTAAAATAATTTAATTTATCATTCAATCCTATAATCTAAAAATCACATATCAAAAAATTAATAATCATAATATTCAATAATGTATTTATAATTAATTTGATTCCTAAAGATAACAAAATATTATTCTTATGACTTATAAATAGCTTTGTATAATTTCATTCGTATTGTCTGTATCATTATAATTTATACTATAACTTAAAATATTAAAATCTTGGTTGTATAATGTACGTACACATAATATATCATCATAATATACGTATTTTATTTTGCATAGATTGTCTTGAATGTTAATATTTAAAAAAAATAGTATTCAATATTAGAATCAGAACATAATTTGAATGTTAAGGGTACTTAAAATATTTAAACATTTAAGTATTAAATACATTTGATTAGGTTAAATATTCTTATGAATAGTATTTAATTTAGTGTTTTACTGGTTGAATGATCCAGGTAGGAAGTTAAAAATCTTGGCTACTTCTTTTAGGTGGTCAGTTTAAATATGTTTAACTGCAAAGGTAATTACTACAACTGGGAAACTATTCTTCTCTTCTAGTGAGGTAGGTATTAATAATCTTATTGCGATAGTAATATTTACAAATACATTTAAACATTTTAAACAATAAAAACTAAATAAATAGTCAGGAGAATGATTCCGCTGAAACTACCTGTTAAAGAAAAAGGTTTGTATCGATTCCGCCGGCTATTAATTTTGCCAGCTGCTGTTAATAATATTTACACGTCGATTCCGCCGGACACTGTTTATTCCTCCTCCGTGGAATATGTATTTAAAATATATTGCAGCGATTCTCAAATTTTTTTAGTTTACGTTACCCTAAAAATAAAAAATGAATTGCGCCTCCTATGAATAAATAGATAACAAATGTATAATATTTAATTATAGAAATATTTTTATTGTTATGACAAAATTAATCAACAATAAATATAATTAAATTTCTAATTAAAGTATTATAAAATTTTTAATTTTTATGAAAAAATTAACAATAACTATTAATATTAATATTTAATCTTAATGCGAACAATGTGGTCAAACGTTGGATGGATGTAGTAACTTTCCGGAAATTTCCGAATCATGTATAATACATTTACAAGAGAGGGTTAAACAGTAGCCGGCGGAATCAATATATAGATATTATAAAGGGTAGCTGGCAGAGTCAATAGCCGACGGTATCGATATACGCCCAATAGTCGAATTGGACAATATAATAGCCATAATCGTATTTAGTGATACTATACTGAGTTTGAAAACAATTGAAAACACGAATATAGAAGATCTTCATAACTTACATATTCATAAAGATATAATTAGAATATCACCTACCAAACTCAATGGTATTCTTATTTCTTAAATGTGATCGACTCGAATCTTGTATAGTGCGGATATCAATCACCACATCTATATTTCCAATACTGCCAATTAATTTACTTATAAATTATTTGATTGTTTGCAGTGTTTGCTGTACATAAGGTGTCAAATGAGTCACTATTATGGGTATATTCAATTTGAATTCAATGATATATCATTGTATATGAAAAACGATTCTGAACGGAGACGATTCGATAACCTTTATCACAAACTATACATCGTGATATTTTCTTTATAAATATATATATATACATAGCTATTAAAGTACATTGTGTTAGTTTTCATATTATAGAGGGTTGATATTTTTTTTATCAAAAATATTGCATTTATTATATTATTAATATTTGATTTTTATTTGATAATATGTATTTATACAATATTACCTATATCAACTTAAATAACTCAAAATGTAATAACATATTTCTGTAAACACTATAAAACAGTAAAAGTAAATTCATAGTATAAATAGATAATATCTTAAAATAAATAAAAAATTTCATTTATAATAATATAAATTATAATATACGTAAGTTTTAATTTTTGTGAATGTTCTTGAATTACAACAAAATATTTAAGATCGTTAATTATGGTTTACAAAAGTAGTTTTTCCAAATTTAAGCTCAAAATATGTTATAAAAAATTAATGTCTTTTTTTTTATATTTTATATTCAATGGTTCCAGTATAAACTATTGCTGAGTTATAAGAAATCTTGTATTACTTTTCAAAACTTAGATATGCAGAGAAACATTTTTATGAATTTCTAACTACAGAATGATTTATTGTTTTTGAAATTTTGGCAAATGTTGTCAAAATTCTAACTTGAAATGAACATAAAAATATAAGAAAAATTTAATTATGTTGGATCAATTATTAAATTTTCAATAATTTTGATCCAACGAATAGTTTTTTTATTAACATTTATAAAAAATTAATTCAACTTTCTGATAAATTTATTTTTAATTTTTATTTGAAGGTTTAAAAACTTATTGAGAACAGATAACATTAAATATAAAAATTTTAGATATAAGAACAAATAACATTTTAATGAAATTCTACCTATAAAATTATTTTATAATTTTTGCGAATATTATGAAATTTTTTAAATTCTAACCCTAGGTGCTTATAAAAAACTATTTCGACTATAGATTTTCAATATTTTTCATTTGTGATATTAAAAACTAATAAGCTTTTTATAACATTATTAAACATGTCTATAAAAGTTTAAGAATAATCGAATTAATTTGAAAATTTGATTGTAAATATAAAATAATAATATAAAATTTTAGTGAAAATTTTTCAAGTATCTACAGTTATAAGTTTTTACTTTTTTAGTTACATAAATCAAAAAAAAAAAAATAAATCGATTTGTCAAAATTTGGATATACAAATTTCCATTTTTTTTTTTAAATATATATATATATATTTAACCTTAATGATTATAAAAAAATGTACTGAGAATTTTTGATTTGACCTATTCAAGTAAAAATTAAATCCAATTTACTATCCACCTTCAAAATTGTAAATTGGAACATTTTATCGTCTACTTATCTTACATAGGTACATACATAAAAAAAATACACATTATAACATTATAAAATTAATAAATTTATTCCTCCGCTCAAAAACTAAAAATATCACTACTATTTAAGAACTAAAATTATGTCCATTTCAGTGATTGTAGTCATACCTTATCAAAATGTAAAATATTTCATGTGTTATTTATATGTAATTATGAATTAGTATAAATTTGTACGCAACTCGTTCAATGAGACAAATTCGTTTTTTTATGAGAGTTTTTTGTATGAGAAGAGAGCTGGAATAACGTTTTTCCGGCCCTTCACAATTGTCTAAACACGAATTTTAGAAATTTTAAATATGAAAATAATTAATAAAAAATCGAGTCCGCTAAAAAGTAGAGAGGCAGCGTATACACGTTAATTAAACTATGATTTTACAATTCCATTTGTATTTAATGAGAAGTAAGAATTATCAAATAAAAAAAAATTCAATTTTATTTACTTTTATTTATTTTATTTAAAATAAAATTTAATGATTATATACTTGTATTCTTACATAATTTCAGCTAAACTTTTAATAATATTCTTTTAAAAACAAAATACTATAAAATATAATTTTTATTGCTTATTATTTTTATTTTTTTATTTTTAAATAAACAATGTCGTTATGTAAATTATTTATTTTTTTTTTATGTAATTTTGTATCTTGAAACTAAATTATTTGGTTGTTGAGAATATAATATTATATTATATGAATTCTGTACTTCTTTTAAAAACCAATTTTATGAACTTTTCAATTATTACAATTTCATTGGTCACAGTTATTGATGGATTCGTAATCAATCAATCACTACCAATAAAAAATAATAAAAGAGTGACTAGGATTGCGAACGGTGAACAATTTGACCAATCCTACTATCCTTATGTGGTTGGATTAAAAATACAAATTGTTAATGAAGAAGCATACTGTACCGGTACTTTGGTATCACCAATATTCGTGTTAACAGCTGCTCATTGTATCGAGGGAGCAAATTCCATAGAGGTAATTATATTGATTTAATCATGGTTTGATGTAATACCATTGTTAAAAAGTTTACAATTTACTTACAATATTTTGGGACATACGTCTCACGTCAATTCAAAATTAGTTTTATTTATTGTAAATAAATCATTATATATTTTTATAGTATTATAATAATATAAAATATAATATCAATATTTTTTGTAAGGTGTACGAAACCGATCCGCGAAATGAGATTGGTGAAAAAAGAGAAGTCATAAAATTATTTAAACATTCATTATATAATGATACAACTTTAGTTGCTGATTTGTGTTTATTAAAGGTTTGTGAAAAATTTTATTTTTTCACCAATTTATTCCACTACATTTATTTATCTGTTTAAATGTATTGACTTTAGTCAAAACAATTATTATTGTTAAAATATTATAGTAAGTATAATTACATTAATTAATAACGTAACAATTGATTCAATTATATATTTAATTTACTATATAATAAACTGTAAAAAAAAAATACAATAAATTTAATTATTTACAAAATTATTCATGAAAACTAAAATTGTATAGATAAGATAAATAACATAAAATAAAACAACCCCAGTTTGTAGTCATAACTGAGTACTCCACTGTTTTATTGTGGACTTTCATATTTTTATCTAAACTAAGTTATTAAGAATATTCAGATTTTTCAGTACAAAATTTTTATACAATTGAACTTTTTACTGAAGAAATATTTTTTACGACGATATTTCTTTTTAAATTGTCTTTTAAATAAATTGTCATTCAAATATTAAGACATATTTTAAACAATGTTTGGAGATAAATTTATATTTTTACTGATTAATTACATATCTTAAATGAATATTTAAAAAATTATCAAATGCTTAATATTGATTTGAAAAAACTAAATTAAATGATTGATCTGAATCAGTAATAAATAAACGTATATACATAATAAATAATATTAAGTCTCAGCTTGAAAATATAAATTTTAATAATATATTGACAAAATGAGGTTTAATTTACTACCTACATAATATGATAGTAAAATCGTTAATTACGAGATTAAATTAATCAGTATTAATTAATTATTTTTTATCAATAGATAAGCGAACCATTTAAAGACATTACTAGTTACGCAATTATTGCCGGTAATCCGGAGCTTTTTGCAAACGAAACCTCATTGAAATGTTTTATATTTGGTTGGGGTAAAAATGAAGTCGGTTACCCAAAGCATAGAGCAAATGTAGCTTCTGTTTGGGTAAAGTATGGACCTGATGCTTGTAAAGTACCGCCAGACAAGTAAAATATATTATTTTTTTCAGATTGTTAATATATAATTTAATCATAGTACTATGATCGACTATGGCGTTTTTACAGTCACTATATAAAAAATATTGTTAAAAGTACGTGGAAAAATTTTTTGTGTCCAATACCCAATAACCGTATGGCATGTATTGGAGATAGCGGAGGTGCTTTAATGTGCCAAGGATTCCTATTTGGTATTACCAGTCACGGTTATAACTATTATCCTGGAATGGGCCATTTAAAAACAGAATGCGGCGATACTCGTGTTCAGACTAGACATATATTTATCTACACTTATCGGAACTGGATTGATGATATTATTATACATGGAACATCTAACATATTAAAGTTCGACTATTTAATGTTTGTTCTAATTAGTATTTTTAAGTTTGTATTATCGATATACACACAGTAGTTTTTAAATAAACAAACAATTATCACCAATACAAAATTTAATTTATGTACCTACCATTAAATTTTAAGTAATACATATTTATATATCAAAATCTTAACAATTGGCTATTACATATGAAAACTAAAAATTACATAAAATTTCAAATAAATGACATTTTTACGTTGTATAGTTTTAAATAACACTACATTATATTAAGTAAAAATATTTTCCTCAAATCCTTTAACTAAATCATGTAACCATGCAGAATAACATCTATTAACTTTTAGCATTTTTCTAAAAATTAAATAAAACAGCGTTCCTCAAAAACGAAAATACCTCATGTCACGGTAGTGAAACAATTGACTCAAAATGACTGAATTCTTTTAAAACGTGTATCTATCTGCTACATAGGTAATTGTAGTCCACAAATTACAACATACAACTACTTATCCGATAATACTAATCAATTCAACATTAGAAGATAAATTTGATCTATATCTATTCTCGCTGACATCGTAGTATAAAAATGATTTATAATTTTTATATATAACATATTATTTTATAAACATAATATTAATAACTAAAAAATGTTAATGAAACATAAATAACGACAAAAAAAAATTTGTGTGTTAATTCTATACATAACAATAATATAAAAATATTACATAGACCGATTACTTTTTATTGAACCAATAGAAAAAAAAAAAACAAATTCATACAATAAAGTGCATTCTTTACACATAACAATATGAAGAGACCACTAAGATGATTTACTGTAATATATCAACTACAACTTCACCATACGCAAATAAAGCAAAAACAAAACAAACATAGCTTACTAACTAATAAACTAATTCAAAAACATACACAGAAGTTGGAAATAAAATAAAATCTTTTTTTTTAAATGTAACCATGGAATAGTTTTTTTTTTTTTTGTAATTTAAAAACATTCGAGTGTAATCTTTGGCTCATAAACATATTTACAATATATACAGTGGCAGATTTAAGATTTATTTAGGAGACCCAACATTTTCACATTAATTTTTTAAACACAATTTAGGATTTTATTTTAAGCCTTACAAATATAATCTAACTACCAAGAGGTAAAAGAGCTGGGTCCCTCGAGCTCTGTCACAGATTATATGCATTTTAAAATTAATATCTACCAGGTAAACAAAATAAGACAATGTGTTCAATTGACTCATCTATTTTAACTATCGAGCTAACCTACTCAGTATAAATATATAGTCATCACATTAATCTGACACAATTTGATGAGAACAAATGACAAATAATAATAATTATAAGTTTTATTATAGTAAACTAGCTATCAATATATTGTAACATTTAAAAATAAAATGTATTTAATTTTGCATTTACACCAAAGATTATAACCGTTTTAAAACGGTTTAAAGCAATACGAATAAATAAAATTAAGTTAACATTATCAAGCTCTAAATTTTCAACAGTTCATAAATATTCTGAAAACAAACCGCTTTTCTCACGAGCAGTCTGCAAAATGTCTTCTTTACTGAATTTTAATACATATACAATATATGCAGGATTTCTCTTAAATTAAAACGAAGTTGGTACAACGCGGGATTTATTCTGTTTCCTTAATTATTTTACTATTCTTGAATTAATATATTATTTGTGTTATAAACTAAATACCTTTATCTTAAAGCTCACAAAATGTATGGCTTACGTTACATACTTTTCATTGGCCTACATATTTGCTAATACAGACTCTAATTTACGCACACCAGCGACGCAAATATCATAACGCGGTGGTGGTCTAGTGGTAGACGGTAGTTATATAGCCACTGCGTGTAATTAACATAATAACAAATTAAACAGGGCAACTGGTGAATGGGGTGAGCAAACGACTGGTTGAGAACAGCGGCAAGGAGGGTGTGGTTGAAATTCGCTCGTAATTTATGAACGTCCGGGTAATTTTGTGCTGATTGTGAATGGGCGCCGCCGCGTGTTATCTGAAAGGGGGTTAGTTAATGTCCCGTACAAGTCCGAAAAAATAAAAGTCAGTTCTTACACTTGGTTTTTGGCTGAATAATAAAAACTACTAAAACAGGAATACATGATAAAAAGATACAGACATTTGTGTTCATTATATTCATGCCACATATACTCTTAACAAAAGGAATTAAGGGGTAAACCGTGTTAATTTGTAAACACTTATATTTTATTCTAAAGCCTACCTATTGTGATATGGTTCAGAATTTAGAAATTCATACATTCATTTATTTCTATATTTTACACAAAGTAAAAATTACGTTTGGTATATTATAGTTGGACATTTATCTTTGTAAATTTAACGTAAATACGTCAAACATTAATTGTATTATTTGTACCTGAGAATTTTTCTCGATAAAAAAAAAAATAAATCATTATACTAAATACTATTGTCCATCTCAATTAATATTTTATGTCAATTTTTGTTTTATAAAACATAAGTGGTTTAATAGAGTTAAACCAAAATACCTTCCTAAACTCGTGCAGAAAAACGCCTAACGGTATAACGCATTATAATCAATTATCCAAACTACGTGAAAGCTAGAACTAAATAGTTAGAAAACCCCGAAAGTCTACAATAAAAGTTCTATGTATTCGATAGGACTCAATTATTGAAAAAATTTCCCTTAATTTTGGTACATATATACAGTTTTACTTAAATTTATTCTATCGTCATTGTATTCAATATTGAATAATGTATTAACTATACCCAAATTACATATATTACCATTAAAACTTATTGAAATACCTTTTTTATGTTAAGCTAATAATCTTTGATATTTTAAGTTTAAAATAGATATACAGTAAGTCCTTGTTTAACGTCGATTCCTAGGAAACATGACGTTAACCGAAAAAAAACGTTTATAGAAACACTTTTTACATTCAATTTACTTATTATAATAGATTCCTATCAAAAAATAACAATTTACATATTTATTATAATTGTACGATCCAATTGTTTGTATTAAATTATATTAAATTACATGTTATACTAAAATTTAACTAAAACTTATAATCAGATTTCCGTGCGTATTTAAAATGCATTCCTTAAACAAGAAAAAACGATTACAGAGAACATAATATTACCTAAAATAAATAAAAAATAGTACCTACTTACAATTTAAGTCTTGTATATGGTAGGTTTGTCAATCAAAACGATAATAGTAATACCCGAGAAAGGTCGATGAAATGAAATTACTTATTGTAACGACTTACACAAAATATATATAAATACGTCATACAACAAAAATTTGACAAACACGTGTATTGTATACGACGTTATACTGAAACCGTCTCAGTGATAAACTAAACACTAGAACTTAAACTTAAATGATACAATAGTAAACCAACGCTAAATGAGAAAACGATAGACGAGGACTTACTGTACGTGAAAATCCTTTTTTTTAAATTGATTTTTTAAATTTTTAAAATTATTTAGAAAAATAAAGTTTTCATTACATAATGATAATTTTAAATTTATAATTTGAGTATTAAAATTTAAAATAAACCATTGATATTACATTTACTAAAATTATTAAAAATTATGCTTATCATAACAAACACGATTTTTTTTCGCCATAATAGACAACTTTTGAAAATAAATAAAAACAATAATCTCTAAATTGAAATAATTTGAACTTATAAAACAAAAATATGCTTTCTAATCAAATAAGGATGAAAAATAAAAGTGTGATAAGCCGAAATACATTATAGTTTTGTGTACAGCAACATTAAGTAAGTTGTTTGTATACAGCTCATTACTTATAAATTTCCAACATAAAGGTTAAACATGATATTATATTATTTCTAGAACCCAAATCAATACGTAAGTGTAATAATCTTAACCATCAATAAGTATTTTTACTTTTTTTTGAAATGAAATGAAAATGGATATTGTAATGCTGAGTTAGGTATTTACACAATCGCTAAACATTAATTTAATTAATATTGAGCTAATGATCCCTTAAACATGATTTATTGTCCCGTTATTAGCTCATAAAATTTTAGTGAATCATTAAATTAATCAAATTTTTATGCAACCTGGTGTAATAATTTAATTTTTTTTTACATTTAATTTTCTTCTGTTTATTTAATAAAGTTCATGAATTTCGTTATTTTTTAATTAAAAATAATTTAAAAGAAAAACTAGTAATTTTATTTTGAGTAGTAGTAATTTTGTTGATGTTAAAAAAAAATAAAAATAAAAAACTTTTAGAAATTCAATCCAAATTCTTAACATGTTTACAAATGGACTTAAATAAGTGATCAAACACAATGTTCAAACATTTTTTTTTTTTTTTAATGTGTTAACCTTTAAATTTAAAATAACAAAAAATTAATAAAAGAATAAATTATGACTCATTACAAGAAGGCACAAATATATTTTTATACGATTTCAATAGTAATGTGTATACATTCCACCATTTTAACGCATATTCATATATTGTTTATTAGATGAAAACGGGTAATTAAATATCATTTAAGTGCTTTTCCCAAGAGTAGACGGTCGAGTGTGGGAGAGAGGGAGAGAGAGCTTTGTTTCAACACAGTTGTAGTAGGCAGCTGCTGTAGGGTATGATGGTGTTACTTTGCGGTCATGTCAACCCGCACGCACGACAACATTTAACCCTAAATCGTTACCTACCTCGCGGTATCTCAAATAATTTACAAACAAGTACTTCCAAGTACTATCCTCCTCGGTGTTGGAATTAACATATTTAAATATATAAAACGTTTAACTAACAGAAAATGAACAGAAAAAAGAAACAAAGAAAATGTATATCTATCTATCTATCTACTGTATAATTAAAAAGTAAAATTAACCATCGGTTTACAAGATATTTTTCTATAAAAACATATAAGCATTTATGGGTGTTTCGTATTGCTCTCAATCTCTAAGTTTACATCATAAATATTTATGTTTAAAAAAACTGATCTTATAAATATTAATAATATTTAGTAGAAAAAATTGCACTTAAATCACACAGTCCACGGATAATGGTAAATATTTATAATTTATGCATAACTAAATACACTATAAATTTTATCTTCATCACACAAACATAAATATATATTTATATTATGTAAAATATTTTTATAGGGCATTAATATAAGCATATTATATAAATTAAAAATTATTTACTTAAAATTAATAGAAATATTAATTTATTTATTGCTTATTAATTATAAAAAATTATTGAATCTCTTATTTGACAATATATTATCTTAAGAAATACCTCCTCTACAGGAAATTTTTGATATTATTTTTTGTTTTTTTAAGAACATAATATCTATTGTATTTAAAATGTTTGTACAATGATCAATAGTTATTTATTTTAATTTACTATTCCTGATTTATGTTAAATTAATTTCCGTTTACAAAATGAATCATATTATAACATATAATTTTTTTTTTTAATTAAATATAGTAATGAAATAAATATAATAATAACAGATACTAAAATGTATTATCATATTATTTTTTGCTTATATTTTATTATACTAAATTAATTTGAAATTTCACATAAAAATTTTTGAATGTCTCAAAATATTGTAATACTTGTAACATTCATTTTGAATTTCCCTAACACCATTAATCACTGTAAAAAAAGCATTCGTCTGAATAAAATATTTTAGTTTCTAAAATGTCTTTATAAAGCTTTGAAACTTAAATTTAAACTTTTACTGTTCCATAAAAAAAAGTATAGTAGGTATACAATACTACACAATAATACAAAATCATTGAGTATCGTTACATTTTTAGCACTAAGAAGACATTTTTTTTTAGGAAATATTATACAAGTATTATTATTAATAAATTAGAATAAGTACATGTTTATACTAGCAAAACAATAAAACTATTAATTTCAAAACATTGTGTTATTTTTGTATTTAGAAAATAATATTTTTAAGCAGTGGAAAGTGTCAAACATTTTCAAGTAGTAATTCTTTAGATAATAAATGAACACAAATAATACAATAATTATTTTGCTTTGGAAAAACGCTAAATAAAATATTTTATCAATCGTTCATTTTTAAGAACATTTTGATTGTGTTAGAGTACACCAAAATCCATTCGAAATCCTTTATAAAAGTGGGTTCATATAAAAAATAGTGCTTCATTAGACAATAATCATCAAATTACAATTCCTTCAAATGCCCTTCTACGCTTTATTGCGTCTCAGTACGTGCTTTATTACAGTATGACACTGTTATTTAGTCACCACATATTGTGCTACAGGAGACATCAGATGAATTTATAAAGTACAAAATCGGTATTTTAAGTTTTCCAGGTTACTGTTTAAACATGGTCCATCTGGTTCACGATTACAGGCCTATAAACGAGCAGCTTGGTCTTCAAACATGAGCTGTCAAATGCACTGTCTTCATTAATTGTTTCAATTTCAAATTGATAGATGATCGCATTAATGGTTAGATTTATTATATTTCAGAACAGCTCAGTATTCGTATTACTCACAATACTTGTATTAGATTTCGGAGTTTTTTTTTTTTTTTACCGAATGATTATTCGGTCTAATTTTACCGCAGATGCACCTTTCATTAGGATGATGTATAGAGCCAATGAAATTTTTTTTTGCTGTATCCGAGACTAATATTTTATTGTTATTTCTCTACTGTTTATAATTTAACTGTAATACATAAGATTATCATTATCCGATATATTGAGATTTATTACTGTTAAAAGTTTTTTGGCGTTCATATTTCATAAATAATAGTATATGATGCAATTTTATAACAATTATTATATAATATTATTGTAAGTGATGTATTTAGGAAAAAATTGTTCAATCTACCAAAATACTAATTAAGAATAAATGTACCTTAGTACTTGGTATGCATAAATTATAAGATTAAGAATAAAAAGGCTTACAAAATAACACACCGTATACGTTCATAATAATAAAGTGTAATATAATATATTACATTTTATTGATATCCATTTCTATGGCCTACTTAATAATTTTAGGAAACTGATCAATAATAAAATAATATATTTCAATTTTTATAGTAAACAATTATAATGAATAAAAATTAATAAATGTTATTATCTATTTTATTCACATAATATTTTAAATATAAGACACTGATAGTATCTAATAAATTTTCAAACACAACTTTAGCAGGATTAGATTTATTTTAAAAATTATTACAATATAAACAAACCATCAATAAAACGTTTAAAATAAACATGAATATTTTGATTATATAATCGTATAATTTAAACAATCATAATAAAATGTCGTATAGAAATATTAAATACCAAATAATTTTATTTAACTTTATTACAATATTAAATAGATCGACACATCTAAACTGTAATTTAATAATCAATTTAAATAATTATTTTTTATTACATAAAAATCCGATAAAATAATATGTGTTTGACAACATATCAATATAACAAATAAAAGTTTATACTTGTACTGCAAGTGTCACCACATTATAATAACAAGTTGAAAATAATCATATTATTAGTCTTATTATAAATAAACTAGATTATATTTGAAATATTAAATGATTTACACACAAAAACCTCGAGTTTCTCCCTTTTAGAACAATTTACGATCGCTAATGTATTTTTAAGGGGTTAAAAAATATACTAGGTACTGATCATGAGTCCCGATTTTAAGGTTTATTTATTTACATCGAAAAACAGTTGTAACTTGTAAGTAATGATTTATGATAGAAAAAGTACAAAATATATTTTTTTGTTTGCAAATGTTTAATATGGAAATGTTTGAATGTATAATATTTAGAAATATGTCGCTCCGTTAATTTTCACCTCACAAAATAATACATTGCTAGGAGAAACTATCATCGCTCAATTTCTCGTACACATCTCCTTATAGTGCATAAAAAAACGTTGCATTTTTTCGTTACTCTAATTTTTTTTTTTTTTTTTTTTTTTTTTTTACCCAGAAATATAAGACCATATTATTATAAATATCGATCGGTAAATTATTTTGTTCAAATAAATAGCTAACTAATAAATAATAATTAATAGCCTTCTCATAAATCGAAAAGTTTATATTATAACAATTATATTTTTAATATACCATAACATCATAAAAATATTAAATCTTAACAATTTTCTAAAATACAAATTAAAAAATTAAATTTTAACTATATTTAAAAACCTGTCGGTATCTATCAAAATTTTGAGTTTATAATGGAGTTTTTAAGATATATTACGATTTGGACAATAAAAAGAAACCAGCAGGCCATTGGTCAAAGGTTTTTACTTCTACTTCTTCAATAGAGTTTTTGGACATTAACAGATGAAGGACCATTAAATAAAAGCAAAATATATCCCTCTACCCTCTATTACTCGTGAGCGCGCGCCATACGAGTACATGACCAAGATAAATACCATATCATTATATGTATAAGCGATACTCAGAATTCAGTTCATTACAGTTTATAAGAAAATCAATTTCACTTGCTAAATAGTCAAATTATATACGATTAGTGTAGTCTGACGATTAAAAATAGCATTTATTAAATAAACAATTTTAATATTGCAAGTTATTATTTATAATTCTTAAGAAATTAATTTTTAATGTTTCATTATTTTTAACATATTAATTGTGATATATTTCTCTTACTTTTTTTGACTAGTTATTTTAAAATCTAACCTTTTAAACAGTTTCAGTAATTAGTAATTTTGTTCATCTAATGTTCTGCTACTCTAATTAAAATATTTATTGAATTCAGTAGAGTGAATAATATTAAACTGATCGATCTAAAAAATAAATTATTAATAGCTACAAACTATTAAGAATTTAGATTGGCTAATACTTATAAATTATTATTTTATGTCACATGCATCAATGCACATGCTTGTATTCGAGATGATAACAATTTAAAAATTAGTTTTAACCATAAAATGTTATGAGTTACGAAAAATATCTATTAATATTAAACTTCTGTGTAGGCTATAGTTATGTTGTTTCTATAAAATCTAAAATTGTTTCATAGTATGCCATTTAAAATTAATTATTTGGACAAAAAGTTCATATTTTTTTAAAAATTCATTAAAGAGAGATTCACTAAAATTGTAATATATCAATACAAACATTTATTTAAAAAGTCATAGATATACACCAAAAAACCAAACATTTTCATATTTGTTTTTCTGTAAAGTATAACAGTTAATATGGTTATTGAATTATAATTGATATTGCTTCTATACTTATAAATAGATTTTGATAATATAGAAAACCTCATAACTATAATATTTTACAATACAAATTACATTAAAAAATTGTTATAATTAAAATTATAACACGATTTTCTAGAATTGTATGTAGAATAATTAAAAATTATACTCTGTGTGATCTCAATGAAATTGAATAAATAAATTTTAACGAAAAATTTTAAAAGTTTTTTCAGCCATTATTTAATCAATTACAAACATTCTTAAGACTAAGTTCTTCATTTAATATTTAACCACAAAAACTTAAATTGTAGCTACCATCTTCGAATCTAGTGTTAATGAAGTTAAGCGTATTTTATAGAACTTTTAAAGCTGTAATCATTTTAAAATTTAAAATGTGTACCTTTTTTTAAGTATTATTAGTGAAAAAATCCTGAATTCAATACTCTTGACTTACTTAAATAATTCTAAAAATTAGATAAGTAATATTTTTTGAACTTAAAAAATTTAGTTAAAATGTAGTTACAAATGATGTTATAATACATAAAATAGTAATCTACTAGCAATACAAACTAAAAATGCGATCTAACCGCCTAATTTAACCGATAAAAGGTATTTATTTTTTTCAATAACAATACGTAGTGCATTGATGAGCACCAATTATCAAAGTCGTGCATTAAATATAAGTATCAGATATTATAAATCTTATTAATAAAGTCACTTCAAGTACAACAGAAAACTATAATGATGGAGTAATAAAAATTAACCAAGTATTAAAAGATGATCAAACACATGGATTTGGCCATCCATGAATTTGTAGAAAGTTTACAACTTTACAAACTTTGTATTTAGATTATATATTTTTTTCAGTTTTTAAATAATAATAAATTGTATGTTTTATTTGCAAATGAATTTTGACAAAATACAAATTAAAATCCTTTAATAAATAGTACATTTTCAAATTTCTATGAATAATATTAAAAAAATAAAATTATATGATGGTGTTAATCATTTTTGACTATAATAATATAAATTGCATACAATTATTTAAAATTATAAAAACGGGTCAATCACATAAAATATACTTATTACTAAAAATATTTCCATTTATTATACTATAATTATTAGTATATGTTACCGTTTTCCTTTAATTTTTTATGATAACACTAATAGTTCATTTTTTTTATCATTTGCAATACACACGTCACACACTCATATATTAGTACCAGCTAAAATATTTAATAATCGTTATTTTAGTAAATTATTTTAAAATTTAAAATACGTAACTTAAAGTCATATCACTGTTTAGCTTCACAATACTCGTACAAACCTACTATCTTGATATTGTTAGATATATATAGGTACATTTATTTTCTTGATTTTTTTTTTATCTGTATAAATATTGTTAAATAATTTTACTTTAACATAAACTTATTATGATAAAAAATATTTAAAGTCTGTATAATTTAGAAATAAAATCAAACAAAAATAAATAAAAAATACACATTGAAATAAATGATTTAGAAGATTACAACCAATTTTATTAAATATATAGCTATTACATTTTTAAAAATTTCGAAACAAATGCATATGTATTACTTACATATTTATAATTAATGAATTGTAAAAAAATAAGGTTTTTTATATTTTTATTTGTTATTATTATTAACTATTATTGGCCATTGGCTGAAATATGATTTTTTAATAATTATATTGATAAAATATGTGAAAACATAAACTTATGTATAAAAGATAATAAAAAAATATTGGTACATTACATAATTAATCATAATTGGATACTTTAACAAGAGCAGAATACAATTAATAAAGTATTAATTGGATAAGTATAGTATAAATAAATATATTATCTAGAATAAAATGATAGTTATGCACCTACTTATAAATTTTATAGATAAATAATCTATTGTACCTAAACCAAGCAAAATATTTATACATTGTTATTTTTATTTTTCAAATATTATTGAAAACATAAAAAGAGGTAAACTAAAAATATAACAATTAATAAAATAAATATAAATTTTAACAATGAGCGATAATAACGAAAATCAAATATATTGTGATGTATTAATAACATTAACATGATAATAATTTTAAGTTATTTTTAATTTTTACGTGACGTAATATAAAAAAAAAAAAAATTTAAATAAGTTTTTACTGCATTATGAAATTTTTGAAAAATGTTAACACTTAAATA